AAGACATCTAAACCAGGGGCAGACTGGGCCGGTGGGAAGGGGAGCAACTGCCTCCGGGCCACTCTGATGCCCCGTAAAAAGGCTGCACCCCTTCCACTGTAGACATACCTAAAGGCTTTCTGGTGAAGAGTAGTAAAATGTCCCCGCCAGTGTCCTACCAAGTGCGAGATGAGGACTAGGACAGAAGGCAGGCCGCTCCCCCCTCCCCCTGGTATGAGTGGTGTACACCGTGTCTGAGCAGAAGCCAGATCTGTGCCCCACTGGAGCCTCCCCTGGCCAGCCTCAACTGAGCCACCCCCACTCCCACCTGCAGCCCCTGGCCAACCCCTGCGAGCCAGTTCGGAAAACGGAGTTGGTGCAGCAGGCGCTGTGCAGCCTGACCCATCCAATGGGCAGAGAGTACCTGGAGCGGAACTTTAGCCTGGGATGGGAGTCAGGAGGAAGTAGGGAAGAGGAAGAGCAGGAGAAGGGCTGAGTCACTGCACCATGGGCCTCTGGGTTGTACTTGCCCGCTGGGCCAAAGGTTGGCAATCAGCCCCTGATCCCAACTCCACACAAATAGGTCATCAGTGTAGTTTGAACCCAGGACTCAATCGCTGCAAGCCAAGAGTGTTCTATCATACCTGACTAGATGAGTTTTGATGCCCTTCCCAGCACAGCCACAATTCTGGTCATTGGACACTGATACATTATCTCATGGTGCTCTGGATGGCAGTCCTACATGTTGCATTTTTTGGTGTGTTGACATTGGGTTTGGCATTCAAATCAAATAAGATAAACACCTTCAAAAACACAATAGTTGATTTACTAAAGGTAAACAGGCTGTTCACTCTGCAAGAGAAATTGCATTTTGCGAAGGAATTTTCCTCAGAGCTTAGTGAGTGAGGTGAATCTCTGCCGACGTCCATCATCTAATCATGTCCAAGCAAAAATGCTGCTTTTTTATTGTCTTTGTTGAATGTGATTGTGCCCTTTGCAAGCTAAACTTTCACCAAGATGTGGGGATGATAAAGTGCAACGTCCCTTGCAAAGTAAACAGCCTGTTTGCCCTCCAGAGGATTCCTCCCTCCCTCATCTTGACCAGGCCATTATTTGCGATACGGCGCTGCGTTACTTTAACTGACAATTGCGCAGTCATGCAACGCTGCACCCAAATGAAATTTACGTCCTTTTTTCCCAGGAATTGAGCTTTCTTTTGGTGGTTTTTGATCGCCTTTTTTATTTTTTTGCGCTATCAAAAAAAAAGGTTGACAATTTTGAGAAAAAAAACAGTATTTTTTATTTTTTGCGCTATAAAAAAAAAGGTTGACAACTTTGAGAAAAAAACTACTGTTGATTTTTTTGCTATAAAACATGTCAAGTAAAAAAAATGAAAAAAAATCTAATTTCATCATATATTTAGGCCAAAATGTATTCTGCTCCATGTCTTTGCTAAAAACAAATCCCAATACGTGTAAATTAATTGGTTTACCTAAAAGTTATAGCGTCTACAAATGGCGGTATATATACTGGAATTTGTTTTGTTTTTTTTACTAGTAATGGCGGCGATCAGCGACTTATAGCGGGACTGCGGCGGGTATTCTGACACTGGGGGGAATTGACTGTCACTGACATCCCCAATGACACCAATACAGTGATCAGTGCTAATAAAAAGCACTGACACTGTACTAATGGCACTGGGCAGGAAGGGGTTAACATGTGGGGTGATCAAAGGGTTACCTGTGTGCTGTTTTGCTGTGTGTGCTTCACTGTGTAAGCATGCTGTTTTGTATTGCTCTGCTATGCAAAGCCATGCAAAGCAGTGTGCAGAAGCTGACAGGGGAGAGATCTGTATTGTTTACATACAGACCCCTCCACTGTCAGTGATACTCAGTGATCGCCGGTACTGGCGGGGAATCACCAGCCAGGGACTCGGTAATCGATATTTGAGGCAACCAATGGCCCAAAGGCCTCCTACCCGTAAATGCTAAATCATATATGTGTGATTTTGCGCAGCCCTGCCGCTCTGTAGCAGTATTTCTGCTATAGTGCGGCAGGCAAACTGTTAAATCAGCCCCAATTCCTTTCAAATACTTGTCAACACAGAGGGCATGCATGCATGTCCCTAAATGATCAATTGTATTGATGACAATGCATGAATATGATCATCAGCAAGGAATGCCTTCCCAACTGATTTGACTGATCTCTCCCATTGCAGTCATCAGTGACCATTTTTTCATCCTAGAATGTTGCAGTTCTCGCTCATGTATGTTTAATCTTTGAATAATTAAACAAGAATTATAAAAGAACTTTTGCAAGTAGCAAAAGACAATGAAATCAATACCAAGTATTGAGGAGATTATTGTAATATATATAATTTACATTTAATAGGTTAGACACTTCTGTCAGGTAAGTGCAGCTCTCAGTAGAAGCAATCTGGCCCCATACTGACCTCTGTCCAGTTCAGCGCTTGGCTTCCTTTCCATGTGACACACATGCCTTCCATAAAGGTAGAGCGAATGTTCCCAGCACCCAGGATTCTGGATCCTGGCCCCTCCTCCCGGGAGTAGGGGGCTCTGTGCTTTTCCACCACCTATAAATTAATGTGTGTTGGAGGTTTGCAGGGAGATAGCATGGTGATAGAGTGAAATGAGAGTCAGGGCTGGAAGGAGTCAGCAGTCAGAGAGGAGCCTGGCTCGCTCCCTGAAAGATTACTCACACTCCTCTGTGGAGCCCTGCTGCATTCCCAAAATCCTAACAGCTCCCTACTCCTCCTGCTCCTAATGAATCATGTTCTGTAACCTTTACCCCGGCCACCGCCAGGTTAATCTACCAAAATACACTCAGCACTCTACCTTCAAGGAGAAAGAAAGCTCAGACATCCCAAGACTTGTGCTCACTGTGGAAGCCAGCATGGGGCTGCCACTGGAATCATACAGTTTGCAACAGTGTGAGCACTACAGAAAATTGGATGTCAAAGCCTATATAGGGCAGCACAGTGGCTAAATGGTTAGCAATTCCACCTGGCAGTACTAAGGTCATTGGTTCAAATCCCAGCCACGGCACCACCTGCCTGGAGTTTGCATGTTCTCCCTGTGCCTGTGTGGGTTTCTTCCGGGTACTCCGGTTTCCTCCCACACTCCAAAGACATGCTGGTAGGTTAATTGGCTCCTGTCTAAATTGGCCCTAGTATGTGTATGAATGTGAGTTAGGGACCTTAGATTGTATGCCCCTTGAGGCTTAGGGACCTTAGATTGTACACCCCTTGAGGGTTAGGGACCTTAGATTGTACACCCCCTTGAGGGTAGGGACTGATGTGAATGTACAATATATATGTAAAGCGCTGTGTAAATTGATATATAAGTACTACTAATAATAATAATAATATAGGGTCATCAAGCCTTCCGCCGTAACATTCACTTTGGTGTTACTGCCTGCTGGTTTAGGGCTCCATGTATACGGGGTGTTTTGGAAAACTCTTCTGAACGATGGAAACTGATTGCTGGAAAACGTAGGTTAAAAAAAAAGTCTATTTAGCCACGTTTGCATACCACATTTATGTGTGTTAGCCTTTAGAAGTGTTTTTTAAAAGATAACCTCAGGAGCCCTTCCCAAATGCCCAGAATGCACTGAAAAACAGTAAAAAAACCAAACTATTTCAGACATTTTGCAAGAAATAGAGAGAGCAGAAGCAGAGAGAGCAGTATGTGTTGTGATGACCGGTCTTTTCTGGTTGTATTCACTATGGATCCCATCATGAACATAACCATTTTTTCCCTCACGCAAAACCTGGAACTGACTTTGCTGCTGGTGTGCCGGGTCCATTTGAATACATGGAAAACGCTTTGCATGCATTTCTGACGATGAAGAAAGGCTCTGGACAGCATCTGGACATGGAACAGTTAAAAAACACTTCTAACTGAGTTTACAAGCATTTGGCATTTGAAACACCGGTAAAATCTACTCCTGAACGCAAGTTTGTTGCGTTCAAAAAAACGACTGTAAACTCAACTGCCTGTAAACGACTGTAAACAACGATGTGTACATGGACACATAGGAAAACATTAGAGAGAGTTCAGGGGCTGCTGATAAAAACGCTGAACAGCTCCTGAACGTCAGTTTATCAGCTGCAGTGTACATGAGTTTCATGTCCATGGGTATCTATGCTTAAAGGGGAACATTCACCTGGAAAAAGAGTGCTTGGACAATAATAAAAGTAACATGTTTTATAAATGTAATTGATGTTACAGTGCACTACAAGGCTCACCCTGGGTGTGGCTGTCTTAAATACTTTTTGTAGCATTGCAGGAGTCCAAAGCCTCTGTAGGTGTGAGATATAAAAATAAAATGTCTCAACAATATACATTTTACACAGCTGCAATAGCGGTAAGAACAGGGGCAGACTGACCATTTGGAAACTCTGGCATTTCCTGAGGGCCTGGGGTCAGTAGGGGGCCCATGAGATGCCCCTGGTACCTTTTTCATAGGCATTTTTGAGTTTGGGCAAGGACACAGGGGCCCCATGATCCCCTATTGTCCGGGGGGCCCCATGAGTTGTCAGTCCGCCATTGGGTATGAACTTAGTGTTACTAAACCCACAACAGTACAATCAGTCTGTAGATGCAGTAAAGCATGCTTGTTATACTCACTGTGGAACCTAAAGGGTTAATCCTCTGCATTGTGTAAAAAGGCTGTTTCATCCTGTCTTCTCTGATCCTCCCCTTCTTCTACTGTCCCCCAATCCATCTGGTGATAGAACAGAGCCTTGAGGGCAAGCTGCACATACTCAGTTTGGTGTGTATCGCCACAGAGTTTTTTTTTCTTGGGAGAGTGCATGTGATCATCACAGGGCCAATTGGTGCTGTCAAGACAGAGGGTCAGGGGTTATGCAGCCTCATAGGACAATCAGGGTAAAATGAAAACTTCTTCAAGCTGTAACCAGTGCTCTGCTGGACACTGATAGATGTCACAAGACTGCTCTATACTGCAGATGAGAAAAGGTATTTAGTAGTTTATATTTACTAAAATAATTGCATTTCCATGTTGTGTGTACTGTGGGAGACCAGATATAGTGAATGCAGGGTCCCAGATATAGTGAATGCAGAGAGACCAGATATATAGTGAATGCAGGGTCCTGGGAGACCAGATATAGTGAATGCAGGGTCCTGGGAGACCAGATATAGTGAATGCAGGGTCCGGGGAGACCCAGATATAGTGACCGGATAGATATAGTGAATGCAGGGTCCGGGGGGAGACCAGATATAGTGAATGCAGGGTCCGGGGAGACCAGATATAGTGAATGCAGGGTCCGGGGAGACCAGATATAGTGAATTCATGGCCCTGGTTTTAATAACAATTTAAAACTTGAAGTAATTTCTTTAATTTGTCAACCTGATGTACAAAATCTTGCATCATATATATGACAAATTCCCTTTAATAAAACAATGTACAGATCAAAAGTGAAGAACTGAACTAATCTAAAGTAATATATACTTACATGATCTGGACTAATTGGTATCGCTCCAGACACTGAGCCTCTGATCCAACGTGGATACATTGTGTGTCGGCAAAGGAGCCTGTCTGTGCTCCTGATCAGGTAACTAGAACCTTCAGGGGCCCTGTTGCCAGAAACCATGAAGGGTCCCCCTGACCCCCGGCCAGGGCCCCTCCCTCTGAACTCAGTGGTGGAACTCCAGGGCCCAGTCACAAATGCGACCTTTGTGACTCTGGTAGTTCCACCACTGGTGTCAGTAGTTTTTGGGGTTTTTTAAAATAGTTTTTTACCATTTTATTTTACTTACAATATAATTTTTATAATTTCCTTTTTACTAGTTTTTTAGGAGCTCCATTGGGGGGCTTTAGCGAGATATCAGGAGTCTAAACAGACCTCTGATGTTCCACTTTTGAGACAAAGAAAGAAAATTGAGGACACAGCCTTCAATCTCCATCTCTACAGCCTCAGCAGCACAGAATGATTGGACAGGAATATCTCTGTACAGAGCTTCCCAGTTCATTCACAAACTGAAGCATAGTAAACACAGTTTACAGATTACTATGCCTCAGTTTTGAATGAACAGAGTCAGTGATTGGTACCGATCACTGACTGTATTCATTCAGAGAAGAAAAGGGCCAGTAAATGAAGTAATGATGTCATAAATGTGTAAGCTGCACTCTGTTACATTTTTGATATATACTTATATGTTTTATAAGTACACAAATCTTTTACACAGTTAATCATGTATTTATTAACACGATTTTTTTTTTATGTAAAGCAGAAGTTTTAAGGCCCTTTAAAGACAACCAGCTACCATTAGGCAGGAATCTGATTGTTCTGCTTTAAGGTAGAATTCCAGATTGATACAAGTGAAATGTTCAGTATTTGTTTTCTTATTTATTAGGGACACAGGATTCGGTTATTCTGTGACAATTGGGTTATACTGCCACCTCCAGGATGAATTGGATACGTCTGATCATGGGTGCTCTCTCAGGCTCCTGCAGACGGTCAGTGTTGCTGTCTGCCTGTACCTCTGATATGGGCACCAGTGTCCTCGCAGTTCATTGAGAACTACAAGCTGTCAGCCACAAAGACTGCCAGTACTTGTAGTTTATTTGTTCACAAAACTCTGTGATTGGATGATGCATCCACGTGGGCAGAGCCCCGCACAGCTGCGCTGTTTTCAAATTGTGACAGCTCGTGCGGGTTGAAGACCCCCACACTGTCACAGGGAGGGGAGGATCGGGAAGAAAACTGAAGGCGTGGAAACATGTTCCACCCTAAGAATGGGTGGAGCATGTTCCCAAAGGTGAACTTATCTTAAAGCAGAACTAAACCCACCAATTTAAAGTGGAGTTCCAGTTGAATAAAAAATAAAAGTCAGCAGCTCCAGAAACTGTATCTGCTGACTTTTAAAATACAGACACTTACCTGTCCCACAATCCAGCGGTGTCCTCACCACAGCTGGTTTCACCGGCAGTCTTCTCTCCCTGGCGCCGGCATCTTCGGTGTGGACATCCGGCTTTGACAGCCTGCGGTTTCACAGCTGGGTGCCTACTGCGCATGCGCGAGTAGCTCTGCGCTTTGTGAATGGCCCCGTAGTCTTCTGTAACCTGCCACGTGTCCCAGAACCAGGGGCGGACTGACCATTTGGAAACTCGGGCACTGCCCGAGGGCCCGGGGTCAGTAGGGGGCCCCATGAGATGCCCCTGGTACCTTTTTTCATAGGGTTTTTTGAGTTTGGGCAAGGACACAGGGGCCCCATGATACCCTATTGCCCGGGGGGCCCATGAGTTGTCAGTCCACCCCTGCCCAGAACACTACAGAGCGGGAGGGGGGAAGACAACTTCCGCTTCCGATCGCCTTAGGTGATTGCAGCAGAAGTGGGAGCGGGTACCTGTCAAATCCCCCCCCCCCACACACTCCCCAAAGGTGCCAATCCTTAATGGATAGCGGGGGACAAAGGCTTAAAGTGGAGCTCCACCCAAAAGGGGAAGTTCCGCTTTAAGGACTGCTCCCCACTCCCCATTAAGGATTGGCACCTTTGGGGGGTGGGGGGGAATGGGTACCCAAATTTGACAGGTACCCACTCCCACTTCCGGTCCAATCGCCTACGTGATCGGAAGCGGAAGGTGTCCTCCCTCCCTGTAGTCTTTTGGGACATGAGACAGGTCCCAGAAGACTACAGGACCATTCATGAAATGCAGTGCTACTCCCCACATGTGCAGTGAGTACCCGGATGTGAAGCCACAAGCTGCACAGCTGAGTACCTACACTGAAGATGTCCGCCTCCTGGAATACAGGACGGCTGGTGAAACGGGCTGCGGGGAACACACCGCGGGACCGAGGGACAGGTAAGTGGCTGTTTTTTAAAAGTTAGCAGCTACAGTTTTTGTAGCTGCTGACTTAATTTTTTGACAGGGTGAGTGGAACTCCACTTTAAAGAGGAACTTCCCTCTTTGGGTGGAGCTCCACTTTAATGGTTTCCCAAAACAATTACATTCAAGGCATGCTGTAAATGATAACTGTTACATTTGCAGAAGCTAAGATGGCAGCTTTCTTGGCTGTAAAGGATAGCAGGGTTTAGTTCTACTTAAACTGCAGCAGAGAAAAGTCAGATCTGCCTGGCAGGCAGGGCTGTGCTGTGTATCAGAGCTGTGGATATCTCAGGACTGGATGGACAGAAATACAAATACTCTCTCAAATGTATTATATCTGTGTGTTTAGCTTTACTTACTCCCTCTAGGTCTGACACTGCCTGGTGTCAGTGGAGCAGGGGCAACCTGAAATATATATAGTGTGTATGTATGTGTGTGTATATATGTGTGTGTGTGTATATATGTGTGTGTGTGTATATATGTGTGTGTATATATGTGTGTGTGTGTATATATGTGTGTGTGTGTATATATGTGTGTGTATATATGTGTGTGTGTGTATATATGTGTGTGTATATATGTGTGTGTATATATATGTGTGTGTATATATGTGTGTGTGTGTATATATGTGTGTGTATATATATGTGTGTGTGTGTATATATGTGTGTGTGTGTATATATATATATATAACATTTAAAATAAACATTTTTAAGATTAGATTTTTGGAAAGGAATAAAAAAACCACAGGAGTGCTGCTTGATATGTGTGGAACACAGCAATATATAAAACTGACAAAGGTTTCAAACCTTTTCCTTTTTAAACAGAACACAATCTAGATTTTTTTTATCTCCTTCTGATGTTGTTTTTTTTATCTTCTTAAACTGTTTTCCATGAATTATACACAGACATTTCAAATGCATTTGGCATGAGTTTGGTGGGCTTCACATACTGTGTATGGAAATAGAAGCAAAGCATTAACTGATCCTAAATTGACCTTAAAGTGTATCTATGGACCTTTTTTGTTTTCGGATAGTTAAAACTATGGTCAGTTTATTTTTTTTCTGTTGAAGAGATCTCTCTTTGCTCACTTTCCTGTAAACACATCAAATGAAAACACAAAAAGTGAAAAGAAATCTACAAAACAAAATAGAAGGTTTCCCCTTCATGTTCCAGTGACAAGTCACAATTTCTGATTTACCATTGTTTTATAAAAATAGAGAAGGCAAATCTTCCCAGTAAGGACAGCAATAAAGACATGACAGGGGGTCTAAGCTTGACCTATTATATACAAACATTAAAAAAAATGTTGACTATACGTACACTTTATATCCCACGTACATGAGACCATACTTTTTAATGCAGCAGTTTATGAAACATGTACAGTAGTAGACCTCATGGTAGAGTATAGGGGTTGATGAGCCTGGCTGAGTTGTGGCAGAAGCAAGCCATTTACCTAGTTATACTCCTCTCAGAAAGTAAATGCTTCTCTGTAATTGATGGGTAGGCACATCTGTGTTAATTATATAAGCTTTGGGGATTTTTGCCCCCATATTTTGGTACAACCTTTTACCCAGTTTAATCCCCGATTAGAATGCATCAATATCTAATATATAGGAATGATGCATTAATGTCTGCCAAGTCAGGTCTTTGCTGTGAGAAAGTTGTAGCTGTTTTCCCAGAACCTTTCATTTCAGTTAACTGACTGTACTGCCATGTCCACTGAATTCAAATATCTTGTATTGAGTATCAGAGTGTGTAACGAGTGCTGTTATACTAGAAATGATTTTCCACAACAGTGTAAAAATGATATCGGATCATTTCATTAATATTTTTCTTTCAGCGTAGTCTCATTTTTTCGTGACAATTTATGGGTTATTTTTATGGGTAGGACTGGGTTTGTTAGTAAATAGCTTTCGTTTATGTAGTAATTATATATAACAATGTAACTATACTATATATATATAGTTATATATAGTTATAACAGAACAGTAAATTCAGTTGTGTATACTGTATACACTGGGAAATGACACAGGTATTCAAATGTATATTGGTTTACACGCGATGGCCGTTTGGTGTTTTTATCTGCCTGAGAGACACTTTATGAACCATTTGTCATGTAGAAGATTTATACGTTTTTTCCAGCGCTTCTGTGTTATCATTTATGTAACTGTCCCGAAGATTTCTCTGTCTCTCCTGATCAATCCATCTACCGTTCATTCTTTCTTTATTTCTTTCTTTCTCTCTCTTTTCTTTCTCTTTCTCTCTCTCTTTTTCTTTCTTTCTTTCTTTCTCTCTCTCTTTCTTTCTTTCTTTCTTTTTCTTTCCTTTTGTCGTTCTTTCTTTCTTTCCTTTTCTCGTTCTTTCTTTCTTTCTTTCCTTTTTTCTTTCTTCCTATTTCCTTTCTTTCTTTCTTTCTTTCTTTCTTTCTTTCTTTCTTTCTTTTCTTTCTTTCTTTCTTTCTTTCTTTCTTTCCTT